CACAGGGCTGGAAACATCGAGGAATGTTTACAAACCAAAAGAAACGCTAACAGAAGAGCCACGACTTGCCAATAGCTCTAGGTCGTCTTCTACACTCTCTGCCTACCTGATGCAGAAGCACTGTCTGCATCCAGACCTGAGCAGGCCTCTTAGCTAACTTCCTAATAAACTGACCTTGTACATATGTGAGCAGCTGGAAGCTAACATGTAAAGCAGATCATAGCTAAAATTTAGCAAGTAGAAGTTAGAAATCAGCACAAATTGAAAGCGTTACCATCCAAATAACGAGTTCCATAAGAGCTCTCTGGGAACAGCCCTCTCATGTACGTTATACAGGACACAGAGATGGCCAGAAGTCTTTTCACCAGCACCACAGACTGCTGCTCGGTAGCAATTTTGTCGGGCAACAACACTGCTTCCTGAAAAAGAGGGCAAAGCCAAAAATAGCACCATTTTAGTGTAACACAGGGATAATATTTAGCAACAACTCTCAGCAGGTGGAAAAAGAGGGTAACTTCGAAATGGGATTTTAACATTTCTCTGGTCTTCAGACTACACAGGGAAGACTCGCATCTAACATGGGTGGAATTAAGTGCTTTAAGGGTAGTTATCAACAGATCTGACATGATTCACTCAGATGCGGTCTGCGTTGGTCACTCCCTCCCCTTTTATCACAGCTGAACATTCCCACCCTCCCCACTGCACCCATGCTGGCACCTAACAACCACCTTAAAACAAAAACACAAAACAGCCTAGAGTTTTCCACCAGCTTAGCTCTACAGAGTCTATTGTGGAGCCAACCAAACGCTGGCATAGCATGCAGTGCTGTACCAAAGTCCACTGCTGCCATAGCTTTTTCTGAGATCTAACAGCATACTGCGCCTGTCAACGCTGTACGCAGACCTAGTTTCAGAGTGGTTTTAGCGCAGAGCTGTAAGCAGTACATGTCTACGACTGGAGCTAGTGCAGATACTAAACACTGTGTGACTTTAACATGAACAATCTCAGTGGAAAGTATATTCATTACCTTTCCTCCTGCTAACAAAGCTCTGTGCACCCCTTATGGGCCTACGTTTATTTAGTCAAATACATGTCAACGTCTTCTGCTGTATCTTCCTGGACTCACTGAATTGGAAATAACCCAACTAAGAGCAGCGCAGATAACAAAGTGCTCCCACCTCACCAGGCACAGACGTGCCAGCTGCAAAACTGAGAGCTAAGATTGTCAGTACCACCACATTGCCAGTCTTTACCTTGGAGGACTTTTTCTTTTGTCTAGTCTGTAAAAGCTGATGAACAGCCATCCTTTATTTCAAACACCTGCCTTCCACTTGTAATTAAAACCTGGGGGAAAAAAAAAAAAAAGAAGATATGAGACACCCGGAAAATACACAGTCATTGCTATTTCTGCTCTTCCTTAAGCTAAGAACAAGATTCTTCAGCTTCTTCAGGTCTGAAAGCCAACTGCCAGCCAGGACACCCAAAGCAAAGCAAACGAGGGATACTCCATGGCACTGTCTGAGAGTCCGCAGAGCAAGAAAATTCCCTATTCACTGCTGAACGATCGATAGTATTTGAAATTCAGGGCCACAACCGTACCTGGTGTCAGCTGGTGCCGCTTCAAAATGCATTTCTCAAACTCCAAACCACAAATGTTAATTCCTACAACCATTAAAAAGTGTGAAGGGGGAATGTGAAAGAACTGGAAGTCTGCCAATAGCTGCCAACATTTTAGCAAGGCTAAGCAGGAAAAGCACTAACATCAGTCTTGGCCGGAATAAAGGAAAGATTCTTCTGGGACACCTGAGGGGGGGGGAGGAGGGAAAAAAAAAAGATAGAAGAAAGAAAAGAGAAGAAAGAAAAAAGAGAAGTCCATATTGTTTCCATGAAAGCAGGCCCTGTTAGACAAGCCTGGACTAAAGAGAAAAATATTCTTTTTAGAAGAATGGAAAGCTGATTGATAAAGGCAATAATGTGGATATTATATGTTTCGCACTTGGGTGAGGTCCTTCATCTCGCATCTGACATCTTGATTAAACACTTCCATTAGACGGATTAACCAGGCACGCGTTAACAGGCTGGAAAGCTGGCTCCCTGGGAGATCTCTGCACGCAGCTGCTAACAGGCAGACGTTAATGAGAGCAAACACCACAACCAGGTCCCCAGAGGAGCGCTGCCTCACCCGCAGCCAGTCAGTATTTCTATTAACAATTAAAATAATGGCATAAATACAGTAGGTTGATTTAAACCGTGACCTAACGCAGTGAGCAGCAGACTTTTATCAACACAGCCGATCTAATCTCGCTCTGCATTTGCACCTTTTCAGCTTTTCTCCGTGCAAGCCTCCTCTCCGCCTGCCGGCAGTCTGCAACGCATCGAGTGGAACACCGCGTTGGTAGCTCTGATGCTAAATTTAGCACTTCATTTAGTGATGAGGCCAGATTACAGCCGTAAAAGTATTTTTAGACAAATATACACCTGCAAAATTTGTAATTTGTTAAATAT